ACAACAAAAGAACATGGTACAGAGGACTGCACTGTTTTATTTTTAATTACTTTAAAATGATGGCCGCTTGAAATAAGCGTATTGAAAACTTTTGTTTTGAATTTACTTTCGATTAAAGTTGCTGCATGTCAGCCAGTTCCTGACCCAGAATGAGTGAGCTGTAATCGAGTTCAAATGTTCAATTAATCGAGATTTTGATGTTAGGCCAAATTGCCCGGCCCCAGTGTTTTGCTTTCTTTACTGGAATCTTTTAACTAATAAAACTTAAAGCATCCGAGCTGGCAACATCAACTGTTAAAGAGACACTGTAAAATGTAAAAACATGAGGACAGAACAGACTGTGGTGGCTGTGACCATAGTAACACACGAACAAAATGCTTCATAAGTATTCAAAACGTAACATTTTTTCTCAGAAAACATATTTCTAAAAGGTGCTGTTGGCTTGAAATTTTCACCAGATATTGATAACAACAGAAAAAAATCCATATATGCAAAGAAAAAAAATCTTTACAAATGAAGTTATGTGTAATCAAATAAAATGAAGCAAGGAAAAAGTACTGAACACATGAAGAAAGGCAGGTGTAGAAAGGCAGTGAAAGCCCAGACAGCAGCCGAATACTCTCAGTAGTTATTCAGCAACCCTCTGCATCCCTTTATCAGTGTAAATTATTATTTCCTGTTTCAGTCCAACATCTACATTATCAGGATGATGAAGATGAAACCAGCATGGACATTTCAGCAACACAATCATTCAAAACACAGCCAAGGAAACTCTTAACTGTTTCAGAACTGTTTCAAACAAAATCAAGCTGTAGAATGGCCCAGCGAATCAGCTGACTCGAATCCAGTATAAAATACAAAGTAAAGCTCAGTTTGGATAGACAAAATTCAAAAACCATATTTAACCAAAATTTTTACGCTCTGTCTATACACGTCTTGCCATATAAACTTGATTATTATTGCTGAAGAACTTAGCTCTATACTTCAACAGAATAGAGGAAAGCAAGACAACCCAAGTATCTCATTAAAAGTCTGCCATCTGAAGTGCCTTAAAACTCAGCATTAATCAGAGTGTTGACATAATTGATGGTGGGGAAGGAAATAGGGTGGGACATTTCTAGAAGCTCCAAGCTTTTAGAAGCTTTGATAACTGCTCTGTTTCTCTAGGCATGGGCTGGTATAGGATTTTGACGGTATGATAAACTTGGAAAAAAAATATCACGGTTTCACTGTATTGTGATTAGTGCTCAAAAATATACTCTTTTTTTTTTAAATGTCTGGGTAAAAAAAAAAAAAACATTTTCCCTTTTGAACAACATATTTTTATTTTGCGTAAAATGTAAAATATTTTGGAGCTGTAAACATGTCAGACTAATTGACTTCTGCTGTCTTCATTAGTTTCAAAAACACTTTAGATTTCTTTACAATGTAAAACATTTTTGGCTATCTTTTCTGCTGGAGATACTGTTGCCCTAAAAACAACAACAAAAAAGTTAATTAAAAAAAATCTTACATACCTTAGGAAAGGTATAACAGAAAATTTTGACAGTTTTCAAACCTTGACTTTTCCAAACCATGCTATACCTTGAAAAGGGTTATCGTCCCATTGCCTACTCTAGACTGGAACAGACTTCAAGTTCTCAAAATAAAAATGTTCATTTCTAAAAATTTCTGAACTTCATTTTCATAGGCATTCAAGAACTATAGCTATTCAAGTCATCTGGTAAACTGATTTCCTAAACAGGTCTCTAACTCTTGTCAGCATGTTAAAAAAAGAAACAATTTTATCCACAAACTGAAACAGAAGTAGCCTACCTGTAGCTGGCTATTTATCTCCCAACATCCTAGACCCAGCCGACCGTTACTATGACTACAGATGTTCGTCACCAGCAAATGAGCAGAGGTTATTCATTGGTGTTCTGGGGCAATTGCAGAAGCACAGACTCAAATGAGATGCTTTTAAACATGGAATCAGTTTATGCATTACAAGAAAAAGGGGTCAAGAGCAAAACTAAAGTATGCATAGGATAATTGATTTAGCTTATTTGTTTTCTTGGAACAAACGAATGTGTTGACCCGTATCCTACACAGAACAACTACAAAAATGCAAAGTAAAGCCTGATTAGTGCATCCAAATAAACTAAAGCAAACAAAACACCCTAACCGGCAGCATACCTATTAGCTACACTAATCTGTCTGATTCCTAATCAGCTCATGGGAGAAACGGAAATCTCACCCATCAACAGTGGCTTTGAGTTGATGGGAGTTCAACATGCTTTGGACTCTTAGGCATGGATTTGAAGGAAAACAGGCCTGACTTAGTTTCAAATTAAATCAACTCAATCAGAAAGAAATATTCACCCATATAGGAGGATATGACGCCCATATATCAAAAATTTTGCAAGTATTTACTCACACTGATGTTGTTTTAAATGTAAGGTGCATTTTGGTATGAGGTAGGGCTGGAAAATAAATCAAAATTGTGATTGAGCAAAAAGGTGAACTTGTCATGCACATCTAATCAGGGAAGAGCAGCAATATCAGCAATAAAACTCCTCCAAGGGCTAGAGGAAAGGAAAATTTTCTTGCTGTAAATCTAAAGGAATCAATAGCGAGTAGGGGTGGAACGATACACCAAAGGCACGGTTCGGTTCACGGTTTTGGAGCCACAGTTCGGTTCGGTTTGGTTTCTGTTTGCTGTGCGGTTAGGGTTGATGTCATCTTACCAGCAATGCTAAGGAACAATAGATTCGATTAATAACAAGAACATCTAAACACATTTTTAGTACAGTCAGGATACCAGAGTAAACAAATAAAATTAAATAAATACTTCCAATATAGACTAGTCAGAAAAAAAAAATCTCTTTAGTGCAGCCATCTTAACTAAGTAAACTAAAACTAAATAAATAACTGCAGTGTAGACTAGTGAAAGATCTTCTTCCAAAACACCATGATGTCCACATTCTCAGGTGAGAGGCTTGATCTCTTTGCAGACACAGACACAGTGATGCTCATTTTTGATTATTTAAGGTTTCATTTAGCTAAATAGGGTTCCGTTTAAATTAATGAAAAAATATACATATAATGTGTTTGTAAAGTGTTTTTACTTGACATACTCACTAGTGAAATACTTTGCAGTTTTGTCAGAAACTAATGTCATGGTTGTAGCCGGCTGTATTTTTGTCTCCCGTTCTCTCTCTTTCCCGGCAGTCATTTCTGTCCACAAATTGGCAAATAATTTTTTCAACTGATAATCGTTTTGAATAATCGTGATTACAATTATGACCAAAATAATCATGATTGTGATTTTTCCCATAATCCAGCAGCCCTACCGTGCGCACATCATTTAAATGATCATATCGCATTTTACAGTTGTAGTGCATTGATCCTTATGACAGCGTGTATATGGGATCTGTAGTGTTCTGTGTAGCTCCTCCCCCTCTACCTCGCTCTCACTCAGTCAGGCAGTTATGCATGAGCATCGCTTTGAAGTGAAGCTGCTGTGTTACCTCTTGTGCCCGCTGTTAATAAACACTGTTAAGTTTGAACCGTGCCTCTCAAGCAGTTTAATGCAAATTTTCAGAGTCAACAACAGTTCTGATTACGACAAGCATTTGATATGTTTTTTTTTTCTTTCATAGCCAACACAAAGCTAATCTGATGACAAAATTCTAATTTTACCAGTGAAAAAAATGGTCTTATAATGTTGTCAATGGCAGATGACAAGCACATGTTTTAAACATAATAAATCAACATTATAATTATGAATAGTTGTATTCTGATGTCATCATTTTACTGTAAATTAACAAACAGGGCATATTGAAAGTCTGTTCAAGTCCACCATAATGACTATAGAAAATTGAGCATTTTAAGCAACAGTAGATCTACACATAGGCTTAATATTATTATTGTTGTTTTACCATACGTTTGAGAATTAACAATATTAATAGGCTAATCATATTATTAACCTTTATTTTACATTTACAGAATCATGAGAAAATAATGATCTTGATTTAAAGCAAAAAAAATCTTAATTCACATTTTTGCCAGAATCGTGCAGCCCTACATGCGTGACTGGTCTTTTCCGGAAAAAAAAATCCACAACAGTCTTAACTGTGTGAACAGCGCTTTTTTGAATCTACCAGTGAAGTTGTTTCGGAAATTTTTCAGATATTTAATGGTATTACTGTGTGAAAGGAGCTTTTATAGTGTGAATAAATGGTTTGTGATTACAATTTTTGCAATCTTGCATAGCTTGCATTATGACTTTGTTGTAAAAGCTGCTACATCAGAAAGAAGATGCTTTAGATTTAATATTGATAATAGAACTGACTTTACTTACAAAATGCGCATGAAAACAATCCATCCCTAAAAGGAGGGCCAGATACAAAAGGCCAAAACAAAGTTCGTTTCAGCAGTCTGAAACTTAAACATTGTTAAAAGAGATCTAGCATTTACTGAAAAATCAGGGTAAAGAGAACTGTTTTTAATGGGAATTGCGAATTTTTGGGGTAAACACGGTAAACAAACACTAAATGCTTACTAAAAAGTGTCCACAGTAGAGAAAGCTCATGCTCACAGCCTCACATCTGCCTTTTTCTCTTGCTCATTGTCCATCTATTCCACCCATTTGATTGTTACCCTGCTCAAGCCCACCAGTTTCACATCACCACAACCAGCTGAAATTAATCAAGAGAAGAGAATGCCAGTAATTACTCCATCCTTCTCCCAAAGCTTCTCTCAACATAGCAAACCATCATCATTACGAACATCAGTGTGATCCCTCATTGCAAAATTACCATCAGCAGGCTTGTCGTGAGGCACATCAACACTGCATCTATATCAGATAAACTGTAGACTGTTTTGAGAATCTAAGTGCAGAACAAAAGCTGACCTACTACTCTCAATCTTCTATAAGGCTATGTTTTCATATGAATAAGGGGGTGATGAAATACGAGTCGTCAATTTCTTATTAGCAGCAAAAGAATCTCACCGCTTACAGCGTAAATAAGCTTCTTCTAAGGCAGGGGTGTCCAATCTCGGTCCTAGAGGCCCGGTGTCCTAAAGAGTTTAGCTCCAACGTGCTTTAACACATCTGCCAGGAAGTTTCTAGTATATCTAGTAAGAGCTTGATTAGTTGGTTCAGGTGTGTTTGATTAGGGTTGGGCACCGGCTCTCCAGGACTGAGGTTGCGTCCAAAACCGCCTACTACTCTGTAGGTACTGCAGTTGAATTTAAACGTACTACTCGGCCGTTAAAAAAAAGTACGTTTTATACGAGACCTACCTGTGTCAGTTGTGTCGCTTTACTCCCATTCATGAATCATGCGGGGCATCATGGGATAGCGCATCATGCATGGGATGCGCACTCCAGAATCTCGCCGGAAGTAGTAAATCATCCGGGTACTTCTCGCATACTGATTTTCGAATTCTAGGAATTTAGACATACTAGTCAGCTTGCATACTGATTTTAGCGAACTATATAGTATGGAAGTATGCGGTTTTTCGGAAGCAGCCTGAGTTTGGACACCCCTGTTCTAAGGCAAATGCAAAAAAAAAAAAGGCTCTTATACACAACAAATGCAAATTATTGCACACTTGAAGCTAGAATTATTAGCCCTCTTCAATTATGATTTAATAAAGATATCAGTATTCAGCTTAAAGTGACATTCAAAGGCTTAATTGGGCTAAGTAGGCAAGTCATTGTATGACATTAGTTTATTCTGCACACAATCAATTCTGACCAAAGGAAAATGGAAGAAAAACATTTTGTATTACCAAAATACCCAACACCCTTTTGTGTGCCCACAGTCCTACAATGCACTTTAAAAAACAAGCAGAAACAAACTACACCTTTGGAAAGAAACTAGAGAGATTGTACAAAATAAACACTCCACTCTGTTTACAGCATGAGTGAACTGGCATAAACTCCTTAATACAGTGGCAAACCAGGCAAAAAGGGGGCAGAGTGTCAGCCAACTAATCTCTTGGCTAAGGTGTGTGTGTGTGCCGGTTCACAGAGACATCCCAGCATCCACAGGGCACACAACACAGGAACCACACAGAGACAGCCCAACGATAACACAGAAAAGCTGACTGTGAGCCGGGAATTAACCAGCAAAGTCCAAAACTCCTGCTGGCATTAAATTACGGCTACAAAGCTTAAGAAAATATATAAACTTCCCATCTTCTCGATACTTCATAATAAACAGAGATGTTGGGGAAAACAAAGCCTGGATTTAGGATTGCATTCACCATGTTCTCCTCTGGTTCCTGGACGACTGCTCACCCATTTGTCTCCTGCTCATGCTGTTGTTCATTAAGGTCTCTGGCGTCATTGTGTTAGCGATCTCATTAGTGGCATCCTGCCAGTGGCAGAATGAAGCAGCTGCTGTGAGACCGCCTGCCCCTCTAACCCCACACACACACACACACACACACCATGGACCGAGAACAAGCAGATGTGATGCCTTATGGGCTTACCAATCCTTTGGATCAGAGAGTGTAGCTTGTCTCCTGACACCCGCATAAACTGGGCCACTTGGGTCGATTTAGGGCACATAATAGGATAGATGAAAAGAAACAATGCCGGAAACACTGAGGTGTGTTACTGTTTGAGGTCAGACATGCAAAGATAATGGAGACACAGCAGAGATGCTAATTACCCATGATTCATAGTAGTGGCTCTTAATTTATGAATATAAATCTTCAGAAATTTGAAGGTCTGACTTAGGGTGCTTTCACACCTGTGAATCGAGTCAGTTGTTCCAAAACAGAGATTACAAATGTTACATTGTTGCTCTTTGCTCTTGGAGCGGTTCGCTTTCACATTGCAAAGTCTCTAATCGGACCAAAAGAGCTAAAACAAGTCATGTGCGAGTAAACTCTCCTCACATTGGTTAGAGTGTCAGGGTTTATTTTGCAGTGTCCCGCTAAGCTGTCAGGAGAGGTGGTGGTTTGATGGTGATTGACAGGGTGCGCGCGCACGCGATGTGTCCGAGGAGCAATGCGGTGGGAAGGGGTGAGAAGGGTGCGCGACGTAGCCTATTTGAGGACCGGGAGGGAGACGCGAGATTACCGGGAGATCATCACTCGTTTGCGGGCATCCGGAGACTCGCGAAACTTCCTGCCATGCTCATATTTTTCTCTTCATATAGCCGTATGCCTATTACATATCCATAAAACACTGTGATATAACCGCGCTCGGATCGGATCGCTTTCTCACTGTAATCGAACCGCTCCAGGGTTCGTTTCAATCGAGCCGAGACCTCCTCATTCAAGCGATCTCGGAGCGATTACTTTGACACGGAACAGAGCGCGATTGCCCTAGCATGGGCAATCGAGACACGTTCCGAAACAAAAGTGTAGGTGTACAAGAGCACCCTTAATGATCATCTCTCCTGAAAAGAACAGATTTCAGTGAAGCCACTAACCAAAATTTGCTGTTGAGAAAAAAAAAATCAACCTACTATTAGGGTTGGATCGATAGACGATGCCAACATCCACCGCCGATGGCTGATAGAGATCATGGCGCTGAGCTGGCATCGCAATCCTCCGCACTGCCCCCGTCACAGTGGTAACATGCTAGCAAAAAATACATACTTACTTAAGGGCCGTGCACACCGAGATGTTTTTTGCTTTTGTTTTCCGTCAACATTTAATGCCTCGTGACTAAATAAAGGGGGTCAATGTGATCATGCACATAAACGCACAAAAGCGTCATTTAAAAGAAAAAAGCCTCATGCTCAATTTTTGGTTTTGACGCACTGTGTCAAAACCTTCTCCACCAATCAGTTACTGATTGTAACTTACTGAAGTTACAGTAAACAGCACTTGGAGGCTCAAGTGCAAAACTGTCAATACGAGCACACATTGAAGAAGATGCCCAGAGGCTATTTAAACGTTTAGCTGCTTATTGCTCTTGCGAACAATAATCATTTCTTCATCCATCTATGCTTGTTCGAGTCACCAGTAATTTTAACAACAAGCGTGTGAATCTCCTCTCCTCCTCTTCCTCTGTGTTATAAGCGGGTGTCAGAAGCTTAAAGTTGTGTAGCGCCATCTAACGTCAAGGAGTGATTTTGCATACTCTTCTGCTTGATGCCAGTGAAAAATTGCTGGGGTTTGAATCCGGAAAAAAGTCTTGAAAAACGCTGGCGATAAATGCAAAAGAAAAGTGTCTCGGTGTGTACGAGTCTTAAGGCCCAGTCCCAATTTTTTTTGTTCTATCTATATTTATTCATGGATTGGTTATGGGTAAAACAAAGACCATGTGGGTCAGGTAGTTGAAACTGTAGGCTACAAATAATTAATTTTTTATGAAGCAAATAAATATTTATAAATAATTATTTCACCGCCACCTATGACGACAATGCCATTGTTCATTGCGATGTTTCACATTAGACATCGTACGATGCCAAACTGGTCAACATCACCCAACCTCACCTACTATGTTCTACTAGGGCTGGGCGATAAATCAATTTTAATTGTTTAACTCGAGTTTGAAGTTTACATCAATTTGCTTGAATAATAATCGGTTTTCATCCCAACATGTGACACTCCCCTCTGGGTTCTCGTAGTTCCCCTGCATTTGCATGAAAACATACAAACAAAACAGCAGTGTCAGCGAGCAGGGAAGAACTAAAAATTTTTTACCATAACACCCCATTCACACAGGGCATCAGCTTCAATGCTTCCCATTTACTTTAAATAGGTGACGTCAGGCATTGCCGACCTGCATTGTGGATCCGTTCGCGCTGCTTCAGTGCCGGTGTTCGATGCAGAAGATGGGACTTTTTCCAACTTTTTGAGCACCGACGGAAGCTCAGACAGTCAAAATGTTGTATGCAATTACACCAGCTCAGACAGTAGCAGATTGCTGACAAATTTCATTGGCTGACGCTGCTATGACAATCGTGTTAGCCCAAATTTCAGACACGCCCTCTGTCAAGCGTTGGTGCTGAAATCCCGTGTGAATCGGGCTTAAGTCACACGCATTTGAAACTGCGTGCCACACCATGTATTTCTCACGGTAAGAACTGATGAATAAGACAAGTAATGGAGAAGACACGCATAAGAAAGTAACTCATACTGATCTAATGCTGGAATTCAATGTTGCTGTTTGTGGATAAATTACGTGACCCAGCCGTAAAGACGTTCATTACTCTAAATATAAACACTGACAAAACTCGCTCAGTGCACTCGACTAATCTACCAGATGCAGCAACCCGGCGCAAATAAAAGCAATAAAATGCAACACACTAACCTAATGTGAGCAATTTATATGAACTGATGTAACACAAATGAAAAGGAATAAACCTGAATACATGCTGAATGAAAAAAATGAAACAAATAAAAAAAATGATCTTGAAAAGGGTCCCCTTTTAATAATCATGAGTTTACTTTCACTGTAAATGTATAAAATGGTGTAATTTATATTATTATTAATAAATCTGATCTTTAAATGACAGCTTTGTTTTCTTACAGATTTTTAAATTGTATCAATAATTAGAATTATTATAAGGTTTTATAGTTAAAACCTTCAACTACAAGCATTTTTTATTTATTTTTTTGTTAAATTGTAAATCAATTTTTTTGTAAAACAATCAAGATATTTTTTGAAAGGCCATATAGCCCAACCCTGTGTTCTAGCATGTTTCTCTTAAACATTAGTTTTAGCACAATATCATATTTGGGCTTTTTCTTTTAGATAATCAGCGGCTTAAACGAGTAAGCCTACATAAAAAAATAATAAAAAACTAGCAAAACATAAATAAATTGATAAATAAATGAATTAATTAATTACAAATATTGCCATTGTTGTAAATCAGTTAATTGACATCTAATCAGATACTGCTAATATCATGGAGATTATGGTGGTCAATTGACATTGCACCTTTTCATTTAAAAAGGTTAAATATTAATAATAGTATTTAGCAGTAAAATTTACAATCATATGTACTAAACTAAAATTTAAAAAAACATTTTCAAAATGTATACAGTAATTTAAATTTGATTTAACTACTTCACAATTTTCTGATGACATTATGGTATTTGCTTTTAAATAAAAAAAAATAATAATAATTAAAAAGC